AGAAGAGATCACTCAGGTGGTTCATGACGAGGTCAAGATCGACCTGGCTCAGCTGAGTGAGTAGCGGGGCAGCTCGCGGGCCACGAAGTAAACCTGGAAGAATCAAACAATTAAAGGCTTTTGCGACTACAACTTTCAGGGTGATGCTTTCACTCTCTCCAAACCAGAATTAGCCACTACATACAGGAATAGAACCCAACACGTCCTGCTTAGTGCTGAAGAGCCACAGCAACAAAAAATTTGGGGACCCTTAAAGCTTCACTTTTAGGAGTTGAATGCGATAGCGATTTCCTGTTCCTAGTGTGTACTTCAAAGACATAGTGCATGAAATCTTTTCAAACTTGCTATGGACCCACTACGTGGCCTCAAGAGAATAGACACAGTAGCATGTGTGCCTTTTGTAGTGGGTGACCGGTTTAAACCACGAAGCCATTATGACAATCGTGTTTTCTGACGCCCCCTGGCAATGGGTGCTTGTTCCATGCAATTATTATTGCAATATTTCTTGTTGCATTGTGAATAATGTATACAGGACACATATTTTTGTAAAGCATGAAAGCTACTTTCACCGCATTTTCAAGCAGAGGACATTCTTTTCACTACATTCACAACAGATGTGTGGCTGTGTGGTAAAACATCCGCTTGCCAAGCAAACGATTCGGTTCGATCCCCCTTCGCCCAAGCGACCCTGGTTCGGACCTCTATCTGACCCACGATTTGTTTATTATTCATTTTATTCTATCGTTCTCTATTTTGAGGTCACACATAAGATGATTTTTCGCTCACCATCAGCAACGCAGATACCAACGCCGGAATTTTTGCAATATGAGCTCTTTGCCGCTATCGCGTTGAAATTGGCCCCGTACCTGCGTGCTTCGCTGCAAAGGTCATCGAAAGACAGTAGTCCTTTGTTTGGAGGAGCTGCCTGAGATACAGACGCCATCTGGCAGCAATGTCAAATGTCGAACGCAAGGCCACTGGGGGGTGCCAACACCTTGTTATTTTAGCGAAGGGTAGGAAACACCTGCTTTTCCGTTCATACCGTCGCATTGTCAGCATAGCGTAGTGATCACTGCGGTCTTTACAATTACCAATCAATGCATTTTCTAAATAAGAAACACGTACCTAATACTTACATACTGATGTTACGCTTCAAATATGCGTAATATGCTTTTGATTGACAATGTTCTTAAGTGGAACGCAGTCAATCACATGAAGATGGGCGGGCATCGGGGCAAGGGCTTGAACTTTTGCCGGGTGGGCTGAATCATTTGACAACAAACAGAAAGATAGACAGACCAAAATTTTTACGATGAAGTATCCTAAGAAAAGCTATTGTCTTTAAAAGCACTGAAAATTAAGCGGTAAACCAAAGGAAAGCTCGTGATAGGCAGGCAGAAAGCAAGGTGGCGGATGACAGTAAGAAGTTGGCAGGAATAACGTGACCTCCGCAAGCATAGGACCAACTTGATTGATGAAACACTGGAGAAGAATTTTCGCACAGTGGGGATGGTCAGACTGTTGACGATGATTATGAAATCATACTTTTAGCACAGGCTGTATATAGCTACACAGCTCGAACTTGTAAATGACTATGCTTGTGCTGCTACCACTTTTATGGTTTGAAGCAAAGCTGAAGCAAAGGAAGCACATTCGAACAGCTGCAGGTTTGAATAGAGAGAGATGCAAGCCGTAAGCTTTAAAAGAGCTTCTTGAATCTGCAAATTTGTCCTATTGAACCTGTATGAGCTGGTATAAGACACTTTTAACAGCAACACAAAAAAATGTTGATACGCAAGCAAGCAGTATGCAAAATTAACCTTGAAGTGCAGCTTCGTGGCAGTTGATAAGTCCCTGAAACAAACAGTTTTATGGTACAGCCACCCTTTATTGCAGTAAAACTACTTTTATGAGCAGCTCACATGTGATGAAATATCGAAAATTTTCAATTAGTGTCGAAGTAAACTCAGATACTATTGATTGATAAGTGGGGTTTAACGTCCCCAAACCACCATATGATTATGAAAGACGCCGTAGTGGAGGGCTCCGGGAATTTCGACCATCTGGGGTTCTTTCATGTGCACCCAAATCTGAGCACATGGGCCTACAACATTTCCGCCTCCATTGAAAATGCAGCCTTCGCAGCCGGGATTCCATCCCGTGACTTGCGGGTCAGTAGCCGAGTACCTTAGCCACTAGACAACTGCGGCGGGGCAACTCAGATACTATAATATTTTGTTCAATATTCGAAGCGCTCAGACATACACACAGGTCTCTCTGTTTTTTTCGTGGTCATTGAGGTTGTTGCGTCACCTGACATCAGGCCATACCTTCTCAGGCGCTGTCGGCTGCGCATCCAGCTTGGTGAGGAAGTCGTAGAGAGCTGGATAGTAGGTCGGAAACGGGACGGTCGACAGCAACGGCTGAAGTAGCTGGTGAGCAGACGGAGGAGGCAACCCGCCGTCGCAGACGCAGGGGTAACGCCACTCGACACGGCCGATTGCTGGCTCCTTTCCCTTGATCGCCGGAATGGCGACCGGTTTCTCCGTCTGGAGCAGAACTTGGACCGCATTGTGAAGAGACCTGAAAAGAGAGGAAATTGTGGCTCCTGAAAAGCGTTCACGCAACTATTTCAAAGCAAGGACATGGTTTTGGTCGACCACTACACCGCCACTTTCCGAACAGGTCTGCGACTGTTTTAGTAATATTCGCAGTTTCGCGTGCCAAAGCCATGATACCGTGAGGCACGCCGTGGCGGAGGGCTCTGCAAATTTTGACCATCTAGTGTCCTTAAATGTGCACTGCCACTGCTCAGTACATAGGCTTCTAGCACTTTGCCTCCATGGTGGTAGAGTGCGAAACGCCCGTGTACAGTGTGATGTCAGTGCCCATCAAAGAACTCCAGATGGTAGAAATTCCCGGAGTCCTCCGCTATGGCGCTCTCATAACCATATGGTTCTGGGTCGTAACACCACGACAATTATTATTACTAGCACTTCACCTCTTTCAAAATGCAACTGGAGTGGCCTTTGGGTCACCAGCCAAGCATCATAACCATTTTACCATCGGAGTTGGCAACCTGCGACTATGGAGAAAGTTAGCAGTACAAGTTAGCAGAAAGTTAGCGCTTGTCTGTCCTTTTTCTCTCCTTCTTGTTTCCGTCAGTTTTTTGCGCAGTTACATACCTTATGGCAAAGAATATTAGTCTCGTGCTATGACAAAACATTGCCCATGCCAGCTTTAATTCCCACATCAATCATCGTGATTTCATCGATTCTGACCGCATCTGCTAAAGCCTGTGTAGTTTCTAATCAATAAAAATGCGGCACACTATTTTCTGAAGGGGCCAGAAATTTGACATAAAAAGATACACTTTGAGGCCCGTGACTGGAGTTTGGACATCTATGTCATGTCTGCGACTGCCTGTGTTTGACTCATACCTCTGCGTGCTGAGACTCAACAGATAGTTATAATAGTTATGGTGTAGCGTTGGCGTGATAGTGGCGGTTAAGAAAATAGCATTATGGTGTCGCAAATATTCATTGCAGGCAGCACGTTATAGTTGAGCAAGGTAACATTTATGTGCCCAATCTGGGACGGTGGCGATCCCTAGCAGACGGTAACTACATTAAAAAGAGTGAAAAGAAGATCTGAGAATTCGTGCCTGCATTCCCACATGCACAATATTACTTTTTTTAGTAATAATAAAAGTATATAAATATGAACCACACACCAAAAGTGCCAATTTTTATATTGCAAGTTTTTTTACACTGATCTTATGGTTAGACATAGGGAAATTCAAAATGAGAAGCTATCTCAAAAACTAGGCTAAGTTATGTGCAATACTCGGTCGTCGAAGCTACCTCAAGGCTAGCAAAGCCATTCTGCACAGTCATTAGCTATGAAAGAAGTGGATCCCTCCCCACCGACGCTAAATTAATTTCGAAGCGGGCGTACATAACCACCGCCATATTTTACGTACACTTCGTAGACCACACAAACACGGTAGCGGTAAATTTAAAAAATAGTGTGCGTGTGGTACACACTACGGGTCTTTTAGCATACTGCGCATGCGCATTTAGATCCTGTTATCCCAGTAAGTCCGCTATCCCGCTAAGCCCGCTATCATGCTAAGCCCGCTAAACTGTAACTGTCTAATGTAATAACAACCTAGCATCACCTAACTAAAGCCTACCTACAACCTAAAAGCAATGTAGAACCTACCTATTACCACCTAGCTAAAGACTAGCAATGGCCTAGGAGCTACATAGAAACAACCTACAATATGCGAAGAGTAGACCGTTTCGTTAGTTGGTATTTCAACATATAAATCATCGTGGCAGCACAACATAACAAGACACAGAAGAAAGAACAGACGAGGACCATCGCACAACTGATTTTATTGAAGGAAGATCCACACTGTTACACGTCAACAGCAGGGGCACCGTCGCAACAACCAAAAAAGATTCAAACGAGGTGGGAGAGAAATTCAAATTCAGCATTGTACAGCGCAACAAAATTCTCGCTCATGCACTAATCACCTGCTTTTTTTAAACAAAGCATTTCATGAGCTGTTTATTTTTCTATGTCTGCCTAAAATTTTTGCAAATCGGAATCGTGGTTTACAATGCGAGCACACCATGCAGTGGTCGACAAAGTAACTTCTATCCTTATATTCAGATTTCTTTCTACCTAGAACCACATAGGTAAAGCCTATGAACGACCCAAAGGCAACTTGGGAACAACCTAGCATCACCTAGCAACGACCTAGGAGCAATCTAGAAAGAACTTAAATTAGTTTTCAGAATTCTCCAGTTTTGCTGTTTCCAGCCTTGTGTGGCTTAATGAAAGTTTTGCCAGTTTTTTTTAGTCAGCACTAGTGATGTGGTCAAATTTCTTCTAGTTCCCTCTCATTCACCCTGAACTTTTGAATGGACTTATTTGGCTAATGACTTACCTAGGCAGCTTCGAGGGCTGAATCTTGAGCACCTGCAGAGCGTGGGTGTATCGCTCGGCAAGATCTCTCGAGGAATGTGGTGAAGTTGGCGAGAAAATAGACATTTCGACGAGCAGGCAGCCCAGCAGGTACATGTCGGCGGCATGCGAGGTCTGGCTGCGACGCCTAGGAAAGCTCCCGTCTTGTTCGTCGTTGCCCGACTGAAGCACGAAACACGATAAAACAGTGATCGGCTCTTGAACAGGTACAAGGCTGCATTTTTATCCTCATCATCTTTTTGTTCACTTCTAACATCTGAGGAACACGACTGCTCACAAGCACAAGAAACACAAAGGTAACACGATCATTCCTGGGCAGGTACGGCATGAAAGCACCTCCGCTAACTTTTTACTAGGACAGGACAGAAAAACTGAGTGACAGCATGGATGCCTACTTATTTGCGTAGTCATTGAACTATCTACACGTTGACCGACTCTGTAGTCAGTCAACGTGTAGATAGTCCAATGACTACGCAAATAAATTCAATAAACCAAATGTGCTAACAGCTTCCTCTTTTTTCTGGCTGTGCTGTTTGAGGGGTTTTGATCTACGTTTGAGTCGACGTTAATCTCGAGCTACGTTCATGCAACGAAAATATGCAACGTATTGGAAGGGTTCTACTGCTAAGAAAAGATGGAAAAAAAATGAGTGAGAGGGAAGGCAAGAATGTTAACCAGTTTGACATGACTTGTATGCTACCCTGCACAGGAGGAGGAGATGGGGGAGATTAAGGGGAGATAGATGCGGGTCGAAGACACTTTTTTTTTAATATTCATTCAAGTGCAATGAAACTTGAGGTGCTTATAGAACTTTTTATGCTGATTTCGAATATATAATGAGTTGTCTTGCAAGTTGCATACTTTTAGTTTTGCAACATGACAAAGTGAAAAACTTAAGCCCTTTGCCCCCCCCCCCCCTTCTTTTCATACCCAAACTTCATTAATTTTTTACAATTGATAGTTCATAATGTTTCAAATGAAGTGTGGAATGCAAACAACTAATTTGGAAGTCCATACAAAATATGTACTAGACGTGAAAAATTTTAACGTGGGAAGTTCATATTTCTCCTACCCTAAGAAAAATTTACATAACTTTTTTTTTATTATATAAAAAGAATATTGAAACTTAAGCAAGATAATTGCATTTCTCGTACTTTGGAAAAAATTTGGGAAAAATTTCATGCAGATCTGAGCACCAGAAGTACCCGAAAAAGGAGGGGCACATTGACAAAATGGCAAAATTTGTGTTTTGAGAAAAAGAAGTTTTAAAGTCAAAATTGCATGTTTATTTATCAAAGATGTCATTGAATGCGACGAAATTTGTACACAAGAAAGAAAAATCCTCCTTGTAGTGGCCACTGCCATTAAAATCGAACTAGCTGCTCGTAGCCTATGCCTACAGAGCGCGCCGCCACAACAGCTTTCACGTTGACAGCGTAGCTATCGCGCGAGCTCCCGCTGTCGTATGTTCTCCTCGCGGTCAGTCCGTCACCCGCCACGCTCACGCTGGCCTCCCCGCCTGAAGCTACTCGCCACGAAGTATATGTCGCCGAAAGAATAGTCTCGGGGCACTCACTGTTTGGGCAGTGGAGTTCGACGAACGACGCAAGTCCTTTCCGCTTGTCGGCTGGTTCCCGGACACGTAATCCCAAATGGCGACACGTCGGGCACATTGCACCGCGCACAAGCATGTTCAGTGCTGTCACATCAGCAATCAACGAAGACTCATCGTCCTGTGATTTTTCTTCGTCTTCGAAGAGTCCAATCTTTTTCTGGGAGGCACTCACATATTCGAATGCCGCGGCAAACTCGTCGGGCGCATCGGCGTCATTGCCACTACGTTTTGCGGCAGCAAACGATCTTTTCGTGGTTTGAGTGTTCGGCTTTGATTTGCGCCGGCGTCCTCGAAATTTGTGCGCCGCGTGAAACTTCACAGGCCGGTGACCGCGCTTCCTGCGGCTTTCTTGATCCATAATGAATAAGCAGTCGAGAAAAGCGTTGTTCAGCTGTGCTGCTCGACGAGACACGGATCCTGCAAGTAGGCTTCACAGCACACACAGGCGCGCAGCGGCCAATGGCGGCTCCCGATCCGTACCACGTGATTTAAAAGCCAGTCGCGGCGCTCGAAAAAGGCGGCAAAAGCGCGCTTCTCTTTATTATTTCTTGCGTTGCAGCAGCGCAGGAAACCGTCGCTATTTGAAGAGTGAGGCTCGGTTCTTCGCCTCATGCGGTGGACAATGGCGAGCAGCGGCGCATTATCAGCGGCAAGGTGCTCGAAGATGACACACTTTCGGCCTTTTGACAGCCACCTTGTGCTCTTCAGGCGCAATTTTAAAGCATTTCCAGTTGATTCTCGACATAGATTTTTTTTTTTTCAGAATAGTAGAGGTACTAATCTTAACAAAACAGGTGAAAACAAAAAATCGATAATTTTTTAGGAAATTCTCGTTTTTCGACCCGCATCTCCCCTTAAGGAAAAAGTAGAGAACGAATGAGAAGTGGACCACACACAAAAACATAAGGTCACAGCGCAGAGCGGCAGTCTTGTGCTTTATATGGCATCACAATCTACAGCCGCTCATGCGAGCCTGTTGTCCTTAAGGATTTTAGCAATGCCTTGTCTGCTTGAGTTCTCTATGACTTCTCAGGATAACATTGGAACATAAATTCTAGTGTCATCGTTCTGCTGTGAAGACAAGCAAGAGCGCATGAGGGGGATCATTTCTGCACAGCGTAGCGAGGACAGTCGCAGAAGATATGTTGCAATGTTTCCTCCGTACCGCAGGTGTTGCAAAGAGCTTTGTCAGCCATACCTATGCGAAACAAATATGACTTTGTGACAGTCACTCTTAGCTTTAAGTGGCACAGCAAAGTGGCCTTCAACTGCTAAAGCTTGCAAATCATTTATGCACCTGCGGGCATCCAAAATCTCTGAGGATTGTGCTCACCTGAGTGCCCGAGGCAAGACTGATGGAGGGAGGCAGGCTGTGGGGAGGGTGGTGCAGGCAGAAGTTGCACAAAGACTCCAGCTGCTGCAGCTTGGACAGAGGCGAGTAGTCCTTGGGGAGGACGATTACCTGCGTCTCAGCCGGAACGGAGCTGCCTGTGGTCGAAGCCAACTGCTGGCCGACTGATCTCGACCTGCGAAGTGGAGTGCCATGGGTGCTTAAATTCTCGATCTGCAGTATCTACCACGAGTGTCAGGCAAAGTTACACAGACATTAATAATAATCGTTGAGAGTTAGTGTCCCAAAACCACAATATTGCCACACACATGCTGCTTCTTCTATTTTTATATATACAATATGGCCTGCAATATGGCTGGAATATTGGACAAAAAAGATTTCAATCTTGGCTGACAAGATGCCCTGCAACTTTCTAAACTTTCTTTTTTTTTTTCTACCATTTTAACTGCAGTTGTATCAATTGTTATTTCCCACTCCTTTTTATTGTGCCTTTGGGTCTTGAAAGTATCTTAAATAAATAAATAAATAAAAAAATAAATGATAAATGCACACTCAAACCTCATTATAACAAACTTGCATCTTACACGAGAATAAGTTTTTGGCATTAAAAAATTTGTTATAAAGCCATATTCTAAAAACAATAGTGCAAGACTATTTTTCATATACTGTGTTACAAGCGATATTTAGTTATATCCGGGTTCATTATATCGAGGTTTGAGTGATGCAACGCCATTAACTAGCCTCTTCCGTAGACGTGAGACGATGAAAGTGAGATGGCGATTTACTCACTTGACAAGCGTCGATGGCTTCCGTTTGCCCTGGCCCGCTTCGGCCGTAGCATCTTCATCACCCCCTTCCTTGGCATCTGGCTGTCATTGGGGAGAGGACAAATAAGGCAAAGTAGAGGACAATGCCTGTATTGAATGAGTTATTTCGCTGCACATGCTAAGCACAGCCAAGTTTTCTGGTTACATGAAACGGCAGAAGGAAGAGCTTGAACAGCTCACTTTTAAAAATAAACAAACTCACAAGACTGAGCTCCTTGTCAACAGCCTCCTGCCGGCTCTTCCGTCGGGACGACACCAAACTTGACAGTGCCTGGAACACAACGCACAGATGATGATGATAAAAAATGCTTTGCTTGCAGTAGGCGTGGATGAATATTTGAGCACATTAGACATTCGAGCACATATTCGAGTATTAGAAATGAAAAAAATATAGACGTATGTTTGACAGCCTGTATCCCCCTGAAAAGGTTGTTTTACTGTAACCCGGGGCTACAGTGCAGTAACAATAGTAAAGTACAGTAGACTTTCATTAAACAGAACCTGAAGGGACCAGAAAAATATGTTGTTCCTTTAAGAAGAGTTCCGTTCCCTTGCAGGTGAACTGGGCTGCAGAATTCTAGTATGAAAGGAATCTTATGGTAGGAGTAGTAGCAGGAGCAGCAGTAGTAGCTGTAGTAGTAGTAGTAGTAGTAGTAGTAGTAGTAGTAGTAGTAGTAGTAGTAGTAGTAGTAGTAGTAGTAGTAGTAGTAGGGGTAGTAGTAGTAGTAGTAGTAGTAGTAGTAGTAGTTGCAGTAAACTCAAACCTCGATATAGCAAAACTGGATATAACGAAATATTGCTTATAACGAAGTAAATGAGAAGTAGTCTCGCAATAAATTTAGTGTTAGAAATAAATCCTTATAACAAATTTTCAGATATAACGAACTTATTTTCAGATAAGATGCAAGTTTGTTATAATGAGGCTCGAGTGTATTATCAGTAGTAGTAGTAGAAAAGAAAGAAGCACTTTGCCCTTACCCGTGTTTGGGGAGACCCCAGTGCTGTGGCGGCGCTGCTATGCTGGAAACGAAATGTCTTGGGTGCGGAGCAGCGCGACAGGTAGAGGCTGGACGCCGCCCGGTGCGGGTGCGGTGTTGTGAAGAGCTGGACCATGCCGCAGCTGTGCAGCGTTGTGTGGCCGTCCACCAGGGGCCGGCACACGTTCTTGCTTTTAATGGCTGCCTGTCCCGTAAGCTGAGATAGCATGCAACGCCAATTTTAAATCAATTTTTTTACACGAACGTGAGGCTGTACGGCATTTACATAATAAATATTTTAACTAGAGCTGTGCAAATAGCAAGCTTTTAGGTTCAAAGCGAATTCGAATATTCAAGTGAGAACACGGCACAGTGTTCGCGTTGTGTTTTCGGTGCCATATAAGCTATCAAGTCTCTGTGGTAGGATTGGTGGGTGTAAATCTACGAATGTTTTCTGTAGCGGCCATAACTCATCTTTCACTGTGTGCCCCCTCATGACAAAGGTTATTTATCACATTCCATTGTCATGTGGTTGTGTGTACAAAGGACAAACAGGACGATGCATTAATGTCTGATTAAAGGAACATGAAGCATCTATCAGGTCAGGAGGAGGAGCAAATCTGCCTGCTCATTGCAGGGTGTGTGGGTGCTCTCTTGATCTCAAAGATACGCAAATAATTGGTAAGAGAACCATGCAATGCAAACATGAAGTGATTGAAGCGTTTAATATTTGGCAACATGGTTCGAACAAATGCATTAGAGTACCTTGGCCATCACTACCAAAGAAAAAGATATCTTATATAGAAAAATCTGGGTACTGGTGTCATTCTCTTCACTAGTGAATCATGTGTTTTATCTACGATGCACGCACAATTGGCTTTGCTGGGAACTTTACAAGTGATGGTTTCATTAAACCTGTCGCAAGCTCCAGAGTGTGTCTGCCGTCTGCTCTTACTGTGTACACGTCCATAAGCTGGCTTTTTTGTTCCTTCAAGTATGTACCAACAGGCCCAGCCAAAGATTCACCTTGTAGCCGAAAGTGATGTCAATCCAGTGATGAAGGTGCTCGGAGACACGCTCGCTTTCAAGCATGGCCATGTGTTTCCGTACAAAGTCTTCAGGACTTGAGCACCAGCTGGGCACTCCGAGGTCTTCCAGGTCATCGTGGATGGACTCAAAGATGGACGGGTCTGTGAAGAACTCCGGGATGCACTCGTCTACCGTCCACTCCTGATTTTCCAAATTAAGCGGGCAAAAGAAGACCTTGGTCAGCTGTACTTAGATGTACTGGTTGTTTAGATATACAGTCAAGCCCACATATAATAGCCGCACTTAAAACTAACTTTCACATAAAATGAACTATACCCGCGTGACTTTGGAAATATACATTATTTCAATGGCATAAAATTGCACTCACAATCGGTTACAATGTTACACGATCGGTTACAATGAACGGAGTTGGCGCTTGACTGACTTCCCGGGAAACCACTTTACACCACTGATAAGCCATTGGCGAGGTGCCCATAGATTCTTATTGTTCAACACTGACCCTGCCTCTGCAGGCCTCTAGTTGTAGCTTTCCCCGACCGTTTTTTGTTATGCCCCTCCTCCGTCCTTCGTCCCCCTGCTACTATTGCCACATGAGGCCTCTGTTTTCACACTGTCACCGATCTTTCGAAGACATGTCGGCGAACCATAGTCTCCCCTCAGTTTTTGATCCCCGATTTTGTTACGCTATCGTTGGCGTCGCCGGCCTGAAGTGACTAGAGCCTTTGCCAACATTGATGGGTATCGACTGTACCCTAGTCTACGTCTGTGTCTTGTCTGCATCGGTGTCGTATCGTTCTAGTGCACACGAGCTTGTGCTACCCCATCGACATTGACAAATTTGCGTTTCATTCCATGTTTAGGAACTGTTCTCACTCACTTAGCACTTAGCTCAGCATGCCCTCTGCACGCATTCGGAAGCATAAGAACAGCTTGTACACGAAATTAATAGTGAATTCTCAAAGTCGGAAGGTCGTGCAAGCTCGCTGACACCACAATGCGTTTCTTTGACCTCTGCGCGCAGAGACCGCTCTCTTAAATGTTCCTACGTGGGAGTTGTGCATTTTGTGGACCTGGCAAGTAAGCTACCCGACCTGTTTTCTTCACAAGTGCTTTGATTTTCAAAGTCACCTTCACAACTACTTCGCAAGTCTGCTCTCCGCTCTTTATCGCAATTCCGCGCATCTCCACCGCTCCTCGATGCCAGCCATGCTGGCTCGAACTCAAAAGTTTCGTTTTCTGACTACAAATGGGCCCAGAGCAGTGCCACGCATGATGGCTTTTACGGATGGCGAATGAGAGGCCTTCTGCGTATTTAAGACTTATCATAGGTGTTGCATTGTGGAGCGCTTGCTCATATCTGCTGACCACCCAGCAGCCAACTTGCTGCATTGTGTTCCTCTATACAGCTGTGGAGATGGTGAAGGCTGCGTGGGCGTTGGTGACAGCTACATGTGTGCGAAACTGTTTTCGTGAGGCTGACTTTGTCGACGTTGAACCCGATTCCAAACCTGAAGCTTCCGCACAGGACCACTCCGGCAGCGATTTGTGGCAGCCCGTCGTCGACACCCACATGGGAGGGTGGGACATCTCTTGCGATAATTTCATTAGGGCCAATAATGATCCAGACACGGCGGAATCATGCACCGATGAGTACTTTGTGAGCAAATGCACGGCAAGAGTGATCTGGAAGAATTGGATTGCTAGGACGACAAAAGTTTGGAGCCAGTGCCCACAAGCAAACCTTTAGCAGTTGGCTACATTCCTAGCCTCAGGCACCTTGTATATGCCACGGGCCTCGATGAAGAGCTCGCTGTCGCTTTAAAGAATCTTGAGACCATCTTTATTGCTTCTGCTATTCGAAACACGGGCACCAACATCTTTTGAGCAAAAAAGTTTTTGCTTTCACTCGCAACTTTTTTCGAAACTGTGTTTCATTTACTATGAACATCAGGATACATGATTTGATTTGCGCGGTTTAACGTCCCAAAACCACTATATGACTATGAGAGACGCTGTAGTGGAGGGCTCCTGAAGTTTCGACCACCTGGGGTTCTTTAACCTGCCCCCAAATCTGAGCACAAGGGCCTACAGCATTTTCTCCTCCATCAAAAATGCAGCCGGGATTCGATCCCGCGGAACATCAAGATACAGCGAACAGATGCCGCACCATGCTCAAGTTCATTATAAGCAGGCTTGACTATAGTTAGTTCATTGTAGCGTATGGCAGAGCACATCAAAAACAATGACAAAACGAATACATAAATATAGATATAGAAATTTTTGTCGAAACACCAGTTCTAGGTATACCCCATATTACAGAATTTTAACCTCTGCTTGTCTGAGGCGCATTTGTGCAACCCGAGTTCCAATTATGCCTAAAGCCCTTGCCTAGGTCAAAGAAAAGAAATTACACCATCTCCCACTAAAGGGAACCGTGAGTAGCATGCAAAGCAGCGCGTGGGTCAAACTTAAAGTTCCGTTCATCACGGGCACCTTGTCCGATGTTAATGTGTTCTTGCAAGTGAAGTACACCATGAAGCCGCTGTAGTTTCGGTTGCTGTTACTCGTCCCGAACTCTTGTTGGAACACGCCACGCGGGTTCATAGCCTAGCCACGCAGGAGCACATGGGTTCATTGCACGCCTGCAGAATCTCGTTCCTCGGCACTATCACGTCATCCTTACATCTCGTCACTATCATGTGAATGTAAGGGGAAGAGGCAACAGCCTCTTACACAGCCACTTACACACGCCCAAATGCGCTAGCGCATTTTCGTAGGGTTGGGCCAGCTGTTGCGCATGCGCAGTAAGGTTGGTCATGCCCCATACAGGATTGAACCCCGATATGAGGTGCTTCACATCTAGAAGTTCTACCTATGACATTTGCTACTGTAAAGAAAGCACAACATGTCATGTGGTTTCTTTACTCTGACAATTCACTCAATACATGCACCTTGCTTGCCTCCTCACGCCTGTACGCGAATGCAAGAAAAGTGCCATAAACAGTTCACTTAGTCACCGAAACACAAACGCACCTGCAGCCGTTGTATGGATGCCGGGTATTCGGCAGGAACCCACTTGTGCCGGACATGCTTGCAGAGGATACTCCGAGGCAGACGCCTCGCAAAGTACACGTAGTACGTGATGTCCGCAAGCAGTTCAGACAAATGATGTGGCACCTGGAAAGACAAGCACGACATCCATAGTGAAAGGGTGCAGAGGAAGGCAGTGATAACCGTGTCTCTTACAAGTTCACTGTTTCTTTCAATCTACACTTGCTTCACAGGCCCCTAATAGTGAATTCGCGACAGATCAGGGGCACAAATGGGAAAATGGAAGACAACCCCAATCCTTGACTTAGGTGTTCGTTAGTTGCCCTCGCACGTCAGACTTGGTGTGCCTCGGTGTATTTTTCCATTCAACATTTATGTTACGATGCACTGCAGAAGCAGATGTGCAAGGCCACATAGAGAAACGCGCGTGCTTGGGGTATGCTTGCCATAGGTTGCTGACCCCTTATCTACTCCATAAGAACACTGCGAGCAGGTTCACAGACCTGAACCACTCGGTCTATGGGAAGGTAGCCCTGAGGCTGGGCTGACTGCGAGTGCATGGCCGAACCGTAGGTTGCATCTAGATGGTCGTCGCCCCTCGTTAGCCGCAGCTTGGACTTGCTCAGGTCCCGCCAGCCACCCTCGGGTTGTGACAAGTCTCGCACCCAGGGCAGCACGGGGTGGTGCTGGGGATTCACGCCGGTCCGGCCACACAACTGCCAACAAACAGGCAGTCACTCGCACGGCAAACATTTTAAGGACTTTTCGTAAAGTTCGATACAGTCAAACTTCACTATAACAAAGGTACATCTTACATGAAAATAAGTTTGTTATATCTGAAAATTTGTTATAAGATATATTTTTCACAATTTGTATTGCAAAACTATTTTTCACTTACTTTGTCATATCTGGGTTCGTTATACAGAGGGATGAGTGTATACAAGTTTCATGCACTTCTTGCCAAACAATAAAACCCACAACACCGAGCTGTATTATTACATTTATTAACAGGAAAGTGTTTTATGCTGGGGTCCACCAAGCCTACGCTGACGCATTTCCATCACGGATATGACATAAAATATATACTGCTAGATTGCAAAGAAAAAAACGAGACCGAAAGGTTCTATTGCGGGGCATCGAACCAGCAACCTCACAATCCACAGCGCGTGGTGCCAGCCACTACACCACGCAGCGTACGTTGTCAAACTTGCTAACAGTAAGCCATTTATATATACATCACTTCACAACAATCGCACACCGTTCGGCAGTCCTCAGAGCTCTGCAACTTCAGTGCATTTTTGTCATCAGTAACGAGATGACGCAACATGCTCGCGTTGGGCACTCTTTAAAAGGTTACCTTTAAAAGTGCTACCTCCACGGAGCATAGTCTCTCTTCTGCGCACGCTTATCAGACTCATGATTCGGGAAAGGACAAAGGTCACTCCGTTTCACACACAGGGCAAGTGGGCTCAGTATATATTATGCATGTAACAGAAGTTTAAGCCACCTGAATACCTTTTATGAAGCCTGCTTAACTCTTGAAAACTACCAGTTTCGATTTTTAGAAAACCACTTGAGGCAGAAAGCTCAGATTGCACAACGTCTGCGAAAAAAAGACTGCTCATCAATTAATCTCAAAAACCTGGTATTTTTCGCTCGATGGAACCGAGATAAAATGATTGGGGCACTAGATATTGTTAAAAAAAGCCTCATCATTCTAAACAAGCAAAGACTCAAATTTGAACGGGCTGTGCTTCTGCTGTGCGGCCACAATGTTACGAGCATGCATCTGCTTGCTGACGTGTGATAACTTCATCAAACATGAACGCACAGGTACGGTTCTTGTTGCTCGTGGTCATAAATGATCGGAAGAAATTTTTTCTGGTGTTAGATGCGCTGACTCACCGGTGGGTTATGGCGAACTTAAAAGATATGTGAGTGGCCCACTGGTGGGTCACTTTGTACAGAAAACGAGACCTTAAGAAAGTTTGCTCTGCAAACATGCTAAAAAAATTTTAGCGTTCTGTCCTTAAATCAATATTAAAAGGGAGGGGGAGGTATGTCCTCTTTGCATCTGACCAGATCCAGTTCGTGTTTTTACAAGAGCCACTTCTCTCATTACCTGGTTGAGTGCCATGAGGTAGTCGAAGTTACTGAGCTTGCCCCGGACCCACATGTCGACGAGCTTGTTGAGCGGCGGGAGGGGTTCGACCTTCTCTTCCTCCTGGACGCACACCGAGGGCGTAATGCGAGACACCCGGCGTGAGCCCGAGCTCCTCATGGCGGGCAGCTGGCCGGTCAGTGAAGACTCTACCCACGAGTCAGCTTGCAGAGCCAGCCACCAGGGCGGCGTCGCTTGCAGCCAGAAGCGGTGGTCCAGACTCAAGTCCCTGGCAAATGAAGGAAGAGCGGGCTAAGCACTCGAGCGGTCTCCAATGTTGTCAGTGAAAAAATGTGACTGTAGACACACACGTATGCATGTGTGCACATGCATTTACACACGCACACACGGCATAGCGCAGCTAACTCCGACCAAGATTCTAAAAAAAAAAACTTGTGCTCTCGGACAGTTCTACCTGCTGTTTCAGTGGTAGTCAAGTGTACATACACCTTGTATTTTATTGCGATAGCAATTATATGGGCACTCTCAGCTGGATTTTGCCACTGGCATTGGCATCAACGTCGCCGTCACTCACCGTATATGTATACTTATCAATATATATGAAAACGCAAGAAAGAAAAATGATCTATAAAAAGACTCTGGCGTGCAGAATCAAACATGGGACCTCTGAAACAAGAGTGCAAGGCGTCAACCACTGAGCCATGGTGGAGCACGTCATTCAACGTTCAAACAGCAAGCTATTTATATCTACCACTTACCGCTGGTGACGGGCATCACGGGAGGAACTATCATGTTTTAAGCATTACCAGCAAGATGGTGCAATGAGCGCGCGGCACCAAATCGTCTTGACGCTGCGGCGCGAGCTCTCATCTCCCACACGTACTTTGCCCCGCCAAGAAGTGGGGTTGGACGCTCACTCGCGCGCCCTTATCGCGCAGTAGGGAGAATGTACGTCTTGGTTGGCATTAGGCTTTTACTGGAATGATTCTGTTGTAGTTACTGGGCGTACAAAGGTCACTGCAATCGTTGTACAGTCTCCCTTTGCGAAAAGGGCACGCTTTTCATACACAGCGAAGTAACAGAGAAGCTTATTAATCTGTACCTGTGCGTACGTTTTCGTGCATCATTTGTGCGTGAGAAACGCGGGGCACGCTTTGATCTGCTTGCCATTCTGCGCGTTACCTTCCGATTTGTTGCTATTGCATCCATGGCTTCGCCTTTGCGGCAAAGCTGCGACATTTTTTTCATAACTGTTCCAAAATTAACTTACTTTATTGATGATATATCAGGCTTTACATCGTAAAACAATGACATGATTATGAGAGAAGTTGTATTGGAGAGCTCTGCAAATTTTGACCACCTGGCGTTCTTGTCAGTGCCAGTGTCAGTGCACTGCCTGTACACTGACATCACATAGTACACAGGCCTCTACCATTTTGCCTCCACCGAAATGTAAGTGAAGTGGGCCAAATCAAACATGCGACCTTCATGTCAGCAGTCGAGCACCATAACCTCCGATACACCGTGGCATGCTGCGCTTTCCCATTCCCTCAAATAGGCCGTCATCAATGAGGCATCTACTTATGATGCATCACAGGGCTTTCAAAGAAGCAGAGTAATGAGGATGTGCAGCGATAAATACAAAGAGAACAACAAACAACAAAATATTATAAAAAGAAATATTGTAAAGGCCTCATTTTCAAGCAGTACGACATAAGTGAATTTGTCACACGATGTTGAACTAGCCGTTCATGCAATCAGTTGCGGTCCCTGATTGTCATGGTCAGTGCATTGTTACAGTAGGTCATTATGGCAAGTCACTGAATCGTCACAGCTGGTGCTCGCGAAAGTCGGTGAACGGTTACAGCAGGTGGTTGTGATGGTCAGAAAATGGTTACGGTTGGCGATAGTAAGAGTTGGTAAAAGGTTGCAGCCAGAGATTGCGACATGACCTAGGAACGAAATTGGCTTGGTTTCTAGCAAGAGCCGGCATTACCAGATCAGCTGTGACCTTCCAGTCTGCAGCTGACCAGTGTAGCCACTGTTCAACCAAGGTGGACAATTAACTTTAATCAGCCAACTTCTTCATTCTAGCCTGGATCAGTAAAATATTAACTTTAAGTTGTAGTCAACCTCATATAACTCTACTGTCAAGCATTTATTTTATGATGAAAACTGCCTGGTTTTTCCCGAGAAAAAAATAAAAGCGCCCTAATATACCGAATACGAAGTAGTCACACTGCTACTCCAAGCGCTTCAAAGTGTGTTTGATTAATACACCGCTGCATTTGTTCAATGTTCAGGACTTCAAGCTACTCAATAGGTGTGCATAAAGACACACCGTTGACTCATCCTTCCCCAAACACAAAGCCTTGCACCGTGTGGCGATGCACAAAAACAACACTTGGAAGCACTCGAATAGTGGAATGTGCGTCTGCTTCATATTTTGAGTTTTACACGTTTCTGTTTCTTTTAAAAAAAAATTGGTGCTGTGCAGCATGGTGTGGCTGCAAAAGCACTGCCTGTACGACTTCGATTTCAAATGAAAGAGCGCTTTTATTTTTTAAATTGAATTTCAAGATATTGCATTTGCAGAAATACGCTTTCTTCATGCCTTGTTTTGGTTTACGTTTGACGCTATTCCAGGCAATTGTATCGGCACATTTGTGGGCCTTATATGTGAGAACGTGTGTAAACATTCTCGGAAAAATTTTGAATTGTGATTATTAGAGGTGCAGAACAAAAACTTTGAAACCAGAGTACAGTGGAACATTGTGTCGTATAGGTGATTTTTTTTCTCCTAAAATATGGGCAACTAAACTGCAAGGTAAAAGCAGTTTGTGAATGGACGTGAGTCCCAGTATGTTGCGAAAAAATTTCAGACTCAAAGCTACAGTTGTTCTTTTATAGGATCAAGTAAAACTTCTATTCTCATGTCATTTACAAAAAGTGGTTCTGGCTCAATAGAGAAAAATTTATTTTACTAAGGCGAAATTTTCTTTCATTACTCACATTGCCTTGTGACCCTGAAAAGTGAGAAAACAAAACATAGTTTTTAAAGCAAAATAGAAGCAGATGAGTGGATATGCACAGAGGTTTTTATCTAAACACACCCGTGTACTAATTTATTTTGAATACTTCAAAATTTCAGAACTTTCAACTTCAATTTGAAGTGAATTCAAATAACGTGATATCCATTCGAACACTCAAAACGCTCGGATATCCACTTGCGAATAGAGTTAACATAAGGAACAGACAAGGCGACTCACGTGAGCGTCAATGGTCCAAGGGGCAGGCCTAGATCGTGGACGTAGCGCAACACTCGCAGCAGCTGGTACACCACAAAGAGCAGCCGCGAGCCGACGAGCGCGGATGCGCTGAACATGCCACAGTGCTCGACAGTGTGCTGCCGGAACTCCAGGAACAGGAGAAACTCAGATGCCGTCTCGAGGGCACAGTAAGCGGGAACGAGGTGCGGGTGCAGAGGAGCTGGCTCGGCCCCTACACGAAGAGCAAATGATGAATGAAGTGCAGGCGGGTCATTCAAAGTGGTTGACTTGAACTTTATAATTAATTTTTCAGTGACTGCCGCAAGCGGGCATATTAGTGTTGAAAAGTTGAAAGCAGTCGCGTTTCTACACAGTTACACTTGAAGGAATTCTTATAGCACGTCTGTGCTCTGAGATATCCCGCGGCAAATGCTGTCTGTGCTTTGTATGATTACGCATGCAAGGCAGCGAAGATTGACGCAATGTTCCTCCCCGATGTGATGAACTGCCACGGCTTGCTATCGCCAGCCGGTAGTAAAAGGGTAACTGTTTTCATCTATGCCTTTGCCTTTGACCCGTAGTCATATTAGGAAACGCACGCAACTGCTGCGGCCAACCTGGGAGGAGCTTCGCGCCAGTACTGATTGTTGCACATGCGTAATCATGCCAAGCACAATTAAACTTTGCTGCAGGATATCTCGGAACACAGACATGCTAAAAGGATTCCTCCAAGCATATTTGTGTAAAAACATGACCGCCTCCGACTTTTCTATACAAATATGCACGCTTGCGGCAGTCACTGAAAAGTTAATTATTAAATATTCATTAATTGATATATTATTAGCCACAATTATTGTCTCACTTTGTGTCCCGCTGTATACATAAGTTATCTGCAAAGGTGATTTTCATGTTCTCCCCAGTGCTGAATTTTAACAAAACCATAAAGGTCAACATTGAACACCAAGTGTATCAAGTGGTTTGTTACGGCAGTCACTGAAAAGTTCATTATTAAATCTTCATTAATTGAGCTATTATTAGCCACAATTATTGTCTCACTTTGTGTCCCGCTGTGTACATAAGTTATCTGCAAAGGTGATTTGCATGTTCACCCCAGTGCTGAATTTTAACAAAACCATAAAGGTCAACATTGAACACCAAGTGTATCAAGTGGTTTGTTACGGCAGTCACTGAAAAGTTTATTATTAAATCTTCATTAATTGAGCTATTATTAGCCACAATTATTGTCTCACTTTGTGTCCCACTGTATACATAAGTTATCTGCAAAAGTGATTTTCATGTTCTCTCCAGTGCTGAAATTTAAGAAAACCATAAAGGTCAACATTGAACACCCAGTGTATCAAGTGGTTTGTAATACAGTTGTGCAAATTTGATACATTTATAAACAGTCCATCACAATTTATGCCTGAAGTGATTACGCAGGTTACCTCATAAAACTCTTGCACCCTAACGCTTGCAACATTGCTGGTATACAAGCAAGCCTTCATTCATACAATGATACAAGCAAGCCTTCATACAAGCAAGGTAGCAAGGTATACAAGCAAGCCTTCATACAAGCAAGGCCTTCGATGGCTTTGCATGAAGTGAATAGATGCTTGTTTTCTATGATTGAGACAAATGACAGCTGAAGTTTCTTTCACTACAATCTGTGTTTTGTGACAACATAACTTCTCAAAATGGCAAGTACATGAACTAGATGTACAAGAGGGCGTCACTTCGTTATGCCAATTGAGTTAGGTGCAACTTGTGCGGTGCGACTTATGCACAAAGTGTCAGTGTCACCTATAATCAAAAATACAGTATATGAATAAATCATTCCAAACGATTCGCGTGACACATGTGAGTAAACGGAGTTGTTCAAGGCTAGTGTAGTCACTTACCTTCCGGATTTTCATGTTGTTCCCCCCCTTCGACACATATTATTGGACAGGCATAGAGACGACTGATGATTTCCCGAACGGCACTGTTGTAATCCTGATATAAAAAAAACAAAACAATGTGCCAAAACTGAGAAGAAAAAAATATTCCATGAATATCTCGACATGAACTGCTATTATCAAATTTTACATTTTCATATTTAAAAAGCTGCCCCACCTCAGCAATACCACGACCCCAAAACATGAAGTGAATAGCATTTTACACATACACACACACACACAAAAAAAAAAAAAAAATAACATGAACAAGAAGAGAACAAAGCGCAGGGAGGCATAGACAAGACAAGCACAGACTGTGCCTGTTTGCGCTTTCTTCCCTAGTTGTCATGTTTTTTTTTTTTTTCAGAATGCCATTCGCAATGCGATGCCAACTTTTCCGACGCTCCATTCTTCTAAGGACATAAAGCTTTCACTGCTTTTCAAACAATTATCTTTATTAAGAAAGCTAAACAATGTATCACATGCCAAGGGTACTAATTATACTAGAACCCACTTATTATGATATGAGTTTTAACAATTTCAGTTACAACAATAAGAAGTTGCAGCATCGTCAACCCCCATGTGTTTTCTATGGTGAAATGCATCCTTATTGATGCAGGCTTGTGCACATTTGACTTTGAGGTAAAGGTGCTGCTGACTTCTAAAGTAGTACCCAATCATAGAAGTCAAGGCAACGCATACCAGCATTTGATTAACACGTCTGTAATGAATAGCGATTCTCTCTCGCCTAGTATCTTGTCCCAACTTGCAGGAAGACATTTACAATAACACAAGATGAACTATCTGCAGTCGTAGCAGCTACGAATCCAATACGCTACAACCTCGATATAATGAACCTGGATAAAACGAAATATCTCTAATAGTAAAGTAAACAAAAATTAGTCTTGCAATAGATATAGTATTGTATCTTTCTAGTCAATTTTTGGATATAACAAACTTGTTTTAGGATGCAACTTTGTTATAACGAGGTTTGAGTGAACACACCCCCCTGCTTAGTGCGATGCCATAGCAGTTGAGATAATGTGGCAGATGTGCAAAACAGATGGACAGATCACCTTGAACGGTTTGAGCTTGACAAAGTTTTCATTCTCTTTGTCGGCGGTCTTGGAGCTGGAACTGTTCGCCTCCTTCCAGATGTTGCGATAGTTGGTCTCCGAGACGTACCGGATGAGCTCCAAGTAACCCATGTCATGTGACCGACTCCAGGGCTCTTTCAAGCGAAGAGACACATATCTGGAAAAAAATTTTGATTAATTTTTTTTTGTAGCTGTTTAACAATTACCGTTAAGTGCCGAGCAAGTGCCCCCCCCCCCCCCCCTCTATGGTGAAAAATAGTTAAACAAGATTTGGGAGGGAGGTGCTTGCTCAGTCCCGGACCAGTCCAGGACTGAGCAAGCACCGGGACCAGTCGGACCAGTCCGAGACTGATCAATCAGGTATTGCGAAAAAGGAAGGGTGGGCGCTTGCTAGGGCGGGGGACTTTCTTGCCATTCTACGGCAAGTGCTATTAAATGAGATTTGTCTTGTGATGGCTAAGAGTGCTATTCTGACTTTGACATTGCAAAGAGACACAGTGAAAAGCTGGGTCGCCATAAAAGGGTTTGATTCTCATTATTTTCTGTTAACAGCGGCTGCTCTGACGATCACACTGCTCAGCTATGTCGTGCCTACGAGTGAAAGAATGTTTGAAATCTGCCACCTGGGCTGCTAGGCAGGACGTTTAATACACCAAGGATCATAATAGTACACATATGCCAACATTCATTAAGTTGGACGGAAGGAAGGACAGGTGCAAAGACTTTATTGAAAATCCTGAGGAGCGTGACTCAGAGTGCAGCAGGCAGCTGGCATTAATATACCGTAATTGTTGGGCTCTAACATCCCAAAACCACTTCAGAAATTTCAATCACTAGGGGCCCTTTAACGTGCATGCAAATCGAAGTGCACGGGCATAATGCATTTTTGCCTACATCAAAAAATGCCTTGCCTGTGTGGAAAGCGCAGTACAGTCCGAGAAAAAGCTAGAAAAGTACGATTTCTAGAGCTCATTGTAAACTCTCTTGGGGTTAACGCAGAAAGGTACCCACTACACCGTAATTCATTTGGCTCAAGTAGGGAAGATCCCACAAGTCGTCATTTATTATACCACAAAGAAGCAAAGTACTTGCTACACATCTGTAAGGCTTTACGTACAGTTTGTTGATGCATTGGGTGATGGTGATGAAGGATTACAGCTGAGCCCCTTGTAATGGTTTGGAAGCTTTAAACCAGGGTTCGGTAATCTGCGGCCTGTGGGGCAGTATTATGTGGCCCCCTGCATAACATCACGGCATAACTTGATGTAACGAACACGCCAGGGCCGTGGCTGGGCCAAGACAAAAGCTTTATTGCGATAGCGCGGGTTAACGTAGCGTTGTGCGAGAGGGGTTAAGGGGAAGGGAAGGAGAAGAAGCAGTGGTGATAACGGCGGCTTCGGCTGGCGTGACGTCACGGATACATCATTCCGCTCCCCCTACGGTGAGTAACGGTCTGGGGGTTTGCGTTGCCGGCCCGAGCGACGCAACACCGGAGTTGAGGGGCTCCCGGCGATCTCGCTCCTTGTTGGCGCTCGCCTCGGTGTTCCTCCTGCTAGGGCCCCGCCGGCAGTTTCGAGGCACCGAGAGTCACCGACTTCTCCCTGGTCATGCTCCAACTCCCGTGGCTTCACCTGGTCGCTGTGGCGCCTAATGGTTTCCCCCTCCGGACCATCGGCATTCACCAGGCGGGCTCCGTCTGTCGATGTAATGCTGGCTGGAGTCCACGGCTCGCCTCGCCCGAAGTTCCTCACCCAGACTGGCTCCCCGGGCTGCCACCCATCGAGGGGGGGACGGTCAACTGGTGAGGGCGGAATGGACACTGCGTTGTCCAGCCTGGAGCGAAGATCGTAGCCCATTAGGAGTTGCGCTGGTGTCCGGCCCCCGGCCTGCGGCGTCCTGCGGTACCTGTGCAAAATCCTAGCCAGGCGGGTTTTCAGTGACCCTTGTACATTCTTCTTCAATGAATACTTCACCGTACGAACCGCCCGCTCCGCGAGCCCATTGGACTGGGGGTGATACGGTGCTGTTCGGAGGTGTACTATGTTATTCAGCTTCGTGAAGGTGTTAAATTCCCAACTCGTAAACTGTGGGCCATTATCGGATACCAGCGTCCGGGGCAACCCGAATGTACTGAACAAGGTGCGCAGAGCCTCTATGGTGGCGTGTGTGGTGGAACTCTTCATGGGTATCGCTTCTATCCACTTACTATGTGAATCCACCACAATCAGTAGCATGTGACCATCGATCGGCCCCGCAAAATCGATATGCAGCCTCGACCAACGCTCATCCGTTTCTGGCCACGCAACAGGGGGTTTCTTTGGGGGCATAGGGGCAGCTTGGATGCAACTGGTGCAGGACTTAACCATGTGCTCAATGTCATTATCGATCCGGGGGTACCACATCAAGGAGCGCCCTAGCCGCTTCATTGAGCAAATCCCTTGATGAGTATCATGCAGCAGACGTAACATCACTGCTCGGGCACTCTTAGGGACGATCACTCGATGGCCCCAGTATAGAAGCCCATAACTCCCCGTTATCTCAGCTTTCCGGTTGAAGTATGGCATCAAGTGCTGGTCCTTAGGCCCCAAATTTCTTGGCCATCCCTCCTGCACCCATTTTTGCACCTTTGCTAAATCGTCATCAAGCTCCGTGAGAGTGCCCAGTTGCTTCGCAGACATGACACCATCATTGAGGGTCTCCGTGAGCAGGACATACTCACCGTCCACAGTTTCTTCCTGCGTCTCTGGCTGGGAAGTTGCTGACGTGGGGAGTCGGCTGAGGGCATCGGCTGGAATGTTGTCTTTCCCGGGCTGGTGTTTGATGACGTAATCGTAGGCGCTCAGCAGCAGGGCCCACCGCTGGATTCGCGCAGCGGCCATCACGGGCACTGGCCTGTCTGGGTGAAAAAGTGCAACAAGCGGCTTATGGTCCGTCATCAATGTGAAAGTATTGCCGAGCAAGTATTGTCGGAATTTCGACGCACCAAACACAAGTGCCAAGGCTTCACGCTCCAGCTGCGAGTAATTTTTCTCAGCTCCAGTCAATAACCGAGAGCGGAACCCTATGGGCCGAAGTACTCCGCCCCCGACATCGTGTGAAAGCACTGCGCCTATTCCGTCCGGGGAGGCATCGCATTCCAGGACTAGCGGCTTGTGTGGGTCAAAATGCGCCAGAAAGTCTGCGGATTTCAGAAGGTCTTTCACACTGCTGAATGACTGCTGTTGAGCGGTATCCCACTTCCACTTAGCTTCCTTCCGGAGTAGTTGATATAGGGGTGCCATGGCGGTCGATGCATTGGGAAGAAACTTGTGGTAGTACGTTACCATGCCGAGGTAGGACCTTAATTCTGCGGAATTCCGTGGTGCCTGAACCTTAAGGATGGCGTCTATGTTTTCCGTCTTTGGTTGAAGACCTCGAGCGCTGATTCGATGCCCCAAAAAATCCACCTCTAGTTGGCGGAACTTGCACTTGTCTGCGTTCAGGCGCACGCCGTATTCCCGGAAACGCTTGAATACATCGTGCAGGGTGGTGCAGTCATTGCGTTTCTCTGCCACGATGACGTCGTCTAGGTAGACCTGAACACCCGGAAGTCCCTGCAAAATGGTCTCCATACGCCGTTGGAACACGGCCGGCGCGGACGCCACTCCAAAAGGCAGGCGAGTAAAGCTGAACAGTCCCTTATGCGTGTTTATGGTCGTGAGGTGCATGGCTTCCTCATCCAACGGAAGCTGGTTGTATGCCTCCCGCAAGTCTATCGTGGTAAAAACTTCACCGCCATTTAATGTAGCCAGGATATCCTCCACCCGTGGCAACGGATATTGCTCAGTGCGACAGGCTTTGTTGACCGTTAGCTTAAAATCGCCGCAAAGGCGGATGCAGCCATTCCGTTTCACTACCGGTACCACTGGCGCCGCCCACTCCGCATGAGGCACCGGTACAATAATACCCGCGCCCGAAAGGCGGTCCAGTTCCGCGTCGACCTTTGGCCGAAAAGCATACGGAACTTCGCGTGCTTTCCAAAACTTCGGCACCACGTTTTCTCGCGTCTCGAAGTGTACCGGTGGCCCTTTTATGAGCCCTAAACCTGGCGCGAACACATCAGCGAATTCTGCTAGCAACCGGTCCACGTTAACGTCGTCAGCACCGAGTAACGGCAGTTGCTCACCTGACGTGTTCACGTTCATTACCGGTGCCTCGAGCATGTGGAACGCTTGAATCAGGTCGCGTCCGCAGAGGTTTGGGCCGGAGCAACCAAGGACTTGCAAAGATCCAGCCGTCGACTTGTTTCCGCACGAAACCTTGAGCTGAAGTTGTCCCCGCACTGGAAGCCGTCCCAGGAAGCAGGTGAGTTTCAATGGCGAACCACGCAGCTTCGGCCACACTGTTTTGTTCCGCTCATATGTGGGCCACGTGATGACCGAAACCGGCGAGCCTGTGTCGACCTGCATGTTCACTGGAACCCCACCACAATCCAAGGTGCGCACGATGGGTTGCGTAATGCCGACGTGGCCGATGTGACTGTCCGCTGCCTCCAGCGCGAACATACCGTCCGTGCCAGTGTCTTCCTCCCGCGACAAGGCGTGTACTTGGCGTTCTGGTGGTACCACCCCGAACCCACTCTCACGGCGGCAACAGGCTCGAGCGATATGACCTCGTTGTTTACACTTGAAGCATGACGCCGAGCGGAAGCGGCAATCCTCGGGTCCGTGCCCTTTTGCTCCGCAGCGGTAGCACCCAACAATCTGTGGCCGGCTTCGTGGGCGATAGGACTGGCCTCCCAGCGCATGCACACTTGCCTCAGCGGTGGGGCTTACTATCTCTTGCGCGTTGGCCTCGGCCATTTCGGTAGATATCGCAATTTCTTCCGCTTCGCTCCTCGTCAGCTGTGGTTTCGCGAGTAGCTGCCGACGCACTCCGACGTTGTGCAGACCACACACGATGCGATCTCGTAGCATTCTGTCCAACGAAGCACCAAAATTGCAGGTGTCCGCTATCTGTCGAATCGCCACGACAAAATCCTTGACCGGTTCGCCGGGCAGCTGATTGCGGGTGAAGAACTTATAAGACTGTGCTATCTCGTTCGGTTGCGGCGAGAAGTGCTGCTTAAGCAAGGCTATCACTTGTGGGTACGAAAGTTCATTCACCTTATCCGGAGCACAACGTCCGCTCAGTACGTCGACGGTGTGGGTGGACAGTGCAGTCACCAGCAGGGCCCGCTTCTTGTTGTCTTCCGTGATGCCATTTCCCTCAAAGAAGGCTTCCAGCCGAACCTGGTACGCGGGCCACTTGTCGCTCGCCTCGTCGAACTGCGGCGGGCTGGCGTATCCTCCCGTGGGTGCGGCGGTCATGACGGACGGAGTTGCCGCACCGCTTTTATCCCATCCTCGTCGCCACTGTAACGAACACGCCAGGGCCGTGGCTGGGCCAAGACAAAAGCTTTATTGCGATAGCGCGGGTTAATGTAGCGTTGTGCGAGAGGGGTTAAGGGGAAGGTAAGGAGAAGAAGCAGTGGTGATAACGGCGGCTTCGGCTGGCGTGACGTCACGGATACATCACTTGACATGACGACTTCATGCCCTTTCCTTAGTCACTTCCTATTTGAAGGCCTACGAGGCAGTTTGGGCCAAAAAATTTAGATAGAGTTTTCGCTAGTAACCTAAGTTTGAATGCAACTTTGTGAAATGTGCGCTGAAAATAAACATGACTTGTCATCAAGTATTGCAAATCTGTCGACTTGCCGGTTTTTGTACTTTGCCAGCAAAGCCACGACAAGACGCACCTGTTGTCCATCTTGACGATTCTGATCACGGTAACGAAGGCAAAGTCTTTGGCCATGGTTGGAGGAGTCTCGTGCACCAGAATCTCGCATTCTACGTCAGTCAGGTCGTCCTGGTGCACGAACGAGCGTGGCACCGTCTTCTCCTTCACCAGAAGGTTTAGCCATTCCTTGTGCACCTAGGCATCACCGAAGTCCAATGAAAATGAAAGACAGCGGTTGACAAAAAAATTAGCACAGCTTACAGCGAGTTTTGTAAGGCTGGGTCACAGCAGTGTTGGTGGAGTGTTAGTAGACCGATGGTGGATTTGTGCAGTGCATATATTATGTATCAGTTATGCAGTGAAAATGTTGCGTACGATAGACTCTGAGTAAATGAAAATCTGTTAAACGGAACTGCTGCTTAAATAAAACTGCCTTCAGCACAATTGATTTCATACCTGAATTCTGCCCCCCTGTTCATCTCTTACAAATGGAGCTCCTGTTAAATAGAACACATCTTTCTGGGCCATTCAGGTTGCATTTAACCAGACTGCAGTATTATGGAATTGCTAATATGTTCAGCGTAGCACCTCCCACCCATCGTTATTGCATCCCCTGGTGGATAAATCTGCACATGTGTTTTGGGAGTGAAAACAAAAGAGGAGGACACAATGAAAGAACAAAGAAAGCATGCGCTCGCTCAATAATAAAAAGTTTTTCTTAGGTTACATAGCTTGCCTACTGTACTATGCATGGGTATGCTTTGTCTATCATCTTTTTTAATCATTTCATGTCCATTACATGCAATCCCTTTCTTTATCTCGTTCTTAGCCTATCTCTATTTTGCTTCCCCTTTTTGTTGGTTCTTTTCACTCTTTATCTTTCTTTTCATGGCTTTGTCTTTTGTTCTGTTTTTTTTCTCAGTCTTTGTATTCTTCTTTCTCTTTTTCACTTTTATCCCTTTGTGTTTCTATCTCTCTTTCCGTGTAGAGACTCTCTTGCCTTGTACCTGTTTCTCTGCTTTTTTTCCCTCTTTTTCCCTCTAGTTCACCATTACTATTTCTCAATAAATCCCTCCATGTCCTCGTTCTCTCGTCCCCCTTTCCCTCTTATAACTCACCTGCTCGCCCTCGCTTTCCTGTCCCAACATACACTCTGCTCTGCCAGCGTGCCTGGATCACGAAGTGGTTAGGACGCTCGCCTTCGAATCAAGGATACATAACTCGAAACTTAAACCCGGAAAACCCCTTTTTCGTCCCAAACATTACTTTTTTTTTGTTTCCTTTTTTTTTGTAAGTACACACGAGAAAACTTTGCTATAAAGGCATGTGAGTACACAAGATGTGTCTATGCTTCATCAGCTTTGTCTTAAAAGTGTTAACACAAGTATGAAAAGATTCAAGGATGCTTGGGACTTTGTAATAATGCGAAAGTAAAAGCCTACTTGGGCCTTCTGTAGATTAGCTGCTGAAGTTTCTGCCAATGTGAGCGTAACGATGAACAGCAATAGGTAATAAGAGGCTAGTGTATCAAATGGGCACTTCAGAGCAGGTAATATGTAAATGCGTTGCAGTGTGCATCATGCCACTTCCCTGTTCATAACGCTTGTGAACGCGGATACCGGATGCGCACTTACAGTAGCTGGGAGCGGTGTGTGCATTTGTGCTGTGAATCAAGTAAACGACGATATGTCATTGTAGGTGGATGTGGAAGATATGTAGTATGATGACTGAAGTGGGCACTGGAAGATTTGAATCAGATAGTGTTAAAGGACCACTAGACAACCCCAAGGTCCAAAAATTATTATAAATAGAAATATGTGCATTTTTACTTCATGAACACGCTGCCATAAGAATTTTGCCAATACGTGCTATATTAAGGAAGTTGATGAAGTTCGAACATCAATTTCGGCTGGTTTAGAATTTTCGCATGGCCTTGCACACCCTTCTCCCTCACATGGAAGGGAAGGCAAAGCCTATCCTCATGGCTTCGCTCCTTTCCGCAACATGACACAAGGTCAGCAAGTGACCTCTTCGGCAAACTCGATAAGCCGCAACGCACATGCGCTTGCTGCAACGACTTAATGTTTAGTGTTTACCCGGAGCCAGTGCTTCTCCCCTGTCCTGTCGCTCAATTTGCAGCTGACAATGGAGCAACACTCTTGCTCCGTGTTGCCCACATTAAGGGCGAAGCATGTGCGTGCAGGCGCTACGCTGAGTGGTAGTTGAGGGAGGAATGTATGCGCCACAACTTCAAGGCCAAAACTATCCCCGCAGGGCCAAGAAACAAGGGGCAGTTTCGTAGCTGTGGGTGGGAACAGGAACCGACGCTGACATTACTACTGTTTGTTGAGACCTAGTTTTGACCAATCGACGAGGTGCACGCTGCGTCAAGTCACCGATCGCCCACTTTGCATCACGGCACAAGGAAGGAAGATTTGTCAGGCGTAGGAAAGAAGCATGGGAATCGTTTTTTCTAAACGGAGGCTCTTCGCAGCGAGCCGCGCTGTAATATTGAGAAAACGTGATCTCTGCGGTCTACTCTTCAAAGTGCCGAGCTTGTTTTGGGAGTGTCAAAAGAAGTCAGAGCCTGTTGACGGACCCTTTAATAAGACCGGCAGTTGCAGAAGTCAGAAATCATTTCAACTTAAACAGAATGTGCTGTGCAGAATGCAAGTAATAGTATATGAAGCAGGTGTTCTATGAGCTCACTAAAGCTTAATAAAAAAAAAAGCTGATTTGAGAGCTCACACACACATTTTAATTAATGTAATCATAGTACAGCACTGGTTCCACATGGCTCGGGGAGAAGGCAAAGTGAACGCGATTTGAAGGCCCTACAAATGTCAACACAACAGTTCATAAAAGCCGGTTGAATGTATACTATCACCGATTGAAAGTTCCTTAGAAGCCCAAGAAAAAGTTTAAGAAAAGTTCAATAAAAAAAATGACAGAAATTCTGCCACAAGGTTTGACACGACCTCCGCACTAAGTTGATCGTTAACAGCGCATTAGCAGAGTATTGCAAAGTCAGGCACAGAAGCAAAAAGTTCAAGAAAATGTTCAAGTAGGCCTTCACGTTTATATTCTTGGAAAGTGCTAAACATCTCTCAAGTCTCGCTATCTAAACACATTCGAATCTAACACAGTGTTGATATTTGAACAATGTGAAGCGTGTTCAAGTTAGCTAGGGAGCACCAGCAGTAAATAAGAGTGCTAGCTTGTTGGTTGTAAACATTGACATGAGCTACCACATGCTGCACGGTTATGTACTGCTAGAGGTCCACTCCATTTCAGAGCAACACACAATATAAACCCCATATTGACACATTCACACATTTGCCATATATTGGCATATGGAACGCATGAACACAATGACATACCCATCACTGCATTCAAATTCGTATTCAGAAATACTGGTTTCTACAAGAAAAAGCAAAAAGATGTGGCGGGCAAGGGCATTGTGTTCTACGATTGGCTCACACCGACATCCCAGAGCATTGTTGCGCAACCATGGTACGAAGTTGTATTCAATATGTTACATGAATGTCATTAAAACATCACACGAATGCTTTATCGTTATTCAAGCACAGAAGCAAACACCATTAGAGCCACGTCTCCATTACATTGAAGCTGGGCAACCATAGTAGCGAATGTACAGATTCATATAAGAACTTTGAGCAAAATGAATGGTAATGAATATGTAATACCAACTAGATCACTTAGCCATGCAGTCAAAATGTGCCGAGTTGGTGGCGTTACCACTGTGTTGCAAAGCTGTGTCCATGACGTCAGATGTACGCTGTCAATTATTTGTTCATATAGAATATGACACCTTTTTGTAAATGTGTCAGGACCAACTTGCTTGTTCTGCAATCTCGTAAAAAAATTACATAACCTATGGCAGCAACAAAATATTGAACATGCCGTGTCATTTCGATGTACTAAGGCTGATTGACTGTCTCCAGTTAGAGCCCGGGCTTGTAATAGTGACAAATTGTGTATTATAAAGTAACACATACACTTACACAGGTGTGGCTATTCAAGCACATAAAATTCAAGCTGTTAAAACTTGATTCATAGCAAATGCAATAGAATGTAAGTTTGAAAAGTTGGCATAACAAGCCCAGCAGCGACGGACTCTGGTAGCATGGACACTGTACATAAAAGAAAACTTTCTAAACCTTCGTGAAGTGGGCAAAGTGACATATAGAATAAAAAGCAGCAAGATATTGGCAAGTTCAAATGCAACTTTTGTTGATGTTAGTGTTTTGCTTCCCCAGAAGCCGTTCTACTCATTCGTTTGAGAAAATGCACACATTGTGCATTTAATACTGTGAAAACAAGAAAGTAGGCTCTATTCCAGACTTGACAAAAGCAATCATACGTGACCATTGCTGATGAAACCGGCTGAACGACACACCCGTCGGAGCACACATCATTCGTTTGATTACTCGGCACTGAAGCGCGTACATCTGCGAAGTAAACAATGCATGTCCTGATAATAGTTTATTTTAAAACGAGTTGAAAAAGAGGCTTGTCTGGATCACTATTGGTTCCTCATGGATGTTGCATTTTTTAGCCATATTGTAACAATGAACTTTTCATTGGTTTTGAAAATGCCCACACCTAAAAGAGCAGAGGCTCAGAATTAAAATTAAATTTCGGAGTTTGGTTTAGTGCAGACAGAGACGATGCCAGGATTCATTTGCTGCAGAGGGGCATTGACGACAAGCAAGTTCCTTCAGGGAAGCAGAGAACTTATGTGTTGCGTTTTGACTATGTCTGCTCTTTGAGGAGCGAAGGGTGGGCATCAGCTCTCCCCATGCTCCCCCAGCCAATGAAGCCACTTCTGAGTGCAAAGTTGAATTTTTTTTTTTTTTTTGAGAGCTTAGAGTGCTTTAGTAATATGCACATTGCTGACTGTGGCCCACACATATTATGTTAGTTTATGCACAGAGCTCTTCAGAAGATGACGATAGTTATAGCGCGAGAATATAACGATGACAAATAGACAAGAAGGACACGAGCACTGACTTCCAACCTACGCTCGTGTTCCTCTTGTCTCTTTGTTGTCGTTCTGTTCTCGCGCTATAAATATCGTCGTGTCATACTAACTAGCCCAAGCTGCCACACCTCTTGAGAAGCTTTGCAACTATGTCACCGCATGCTTCTAGCACAGCTTCAAGAAAAGAACTACTTTGAGCACAAACAACTAAACAGACATGGAAATCAGACTGCCGTAAACCATCACGGGTGCAGCGGGAATTTTTCAACAGTGTACTCCAACCCCCCTTCTTGTATGTTTGTGTGTGTACACGTAAGTGTGCATGTAAGTGCATACATACAAAATGCAATATTTCGGAGGAAGGGCAAGCCACTCCTTCGATAGGCACTGTGAGGTGTCAATTCGCACACACCAGCTAATCTATGCGAGCACACCCGTACAAACAGGCCCGGCTATCTGACAACCAAAGCTCAGCTTCAGTTGCCACTTAGCTCTTTCTTGAGAGTGCCTGCACATTGGACTAAAATCGAACATGACAGCATGACATTTCTTTCAGTCTGCTGTTATCGAAAACCAGCAGATAATAGAGCTAAAGAAGCTATAGTGAATGTTAGTCATGTACACTGGGGGTAGGGGGGCCGGCCTCCCCCCCCCCATCCTTACTGGCCTACTAAGGGGGGAGGGCGCAAAGCCAGCCCCATGCAGTTCTACAATATGGAGGGCGCCGCTGTGGCTGGGGGGGGGGGGGGGGGGGTGAGGTCGGCTTCATACATCTACATAATGGGGAAAAGAGGGGGCGCTGCAAACAGACCTTGCCCCTTCCCTGAAGGGGAACTTTGCGCACGCTTATGGATGTGAAGACAGTGAAGTGGACGAAACAACTTGGCGCCGGCACTGGCCGAACATGAAACCTTCAAATAACGCGCCCGATGCTGTGACCATTGATATGCGGCGGCGGTTATCCTTTCGTCTATAGTTTTGTCAAATGCATCGGGTATTAATGGGGACGTACACGTGGTAGCAGTGTCTAAGTGGCATACGATTAGAAAGCATCACTGTACTTACGAGGCAAGTTGCTCTATCGGCTCCGACAGTTCTTACGTGACTCTGTCGAACGCCGACAGTTTCTCTCAGGATTGCCTTGAGGTCCATCGCCTAGCTCCTGGCCAACGCTCGCATGACACTCGCAAATGAATGAGATCCAGTGGACCCACTTTCAAAGAACACAACACGGCGGCAGCTGTTCTGGTTTGTTTACGCTTCAGTGAATAAACACTAGCGGTCGCGTTTCTGTCGAGCGGCTTTTCTCGCCACACGCAAGCTCCGTCGGTCGCCTCATTCAACTATCTGACGAGCGTTAAAAGCGGATGAAATAACTGTCTTCACGCATTAATTATGGAACACATTACGGAAACATAACACAGCCGCTTCTAACGGAGAGCCATCCCTCCATCCTTGAAGATGCGAGGCGATACTCCCCCTTTTCACTGTAAAATCAATCTTCAGTTTCGTATCAGCAGCTGAAGCTATTCAATAGTTGAAATAAACGTTGTACTTGTAAATATAAAATAAATTTTTACACAATGCACGTGATAATATTAGAGCAAGTCAACTTCTAACGCAAGGTTTAAAAACTTACGATGCTGCCGCAATTGCGGAATTGTTCTTTTTGTATCGATTATGCCCGCGTCTTTTGAATAAGCTTGTTCGTGTTGGGCCCTACTTAATAAAAAAGTTCAACTATATTACATAAACGAGCAATTTAATCGGTATTCAGCAAAAAATACAGTAGAAAAGAGCTAAGCAAAGTCCGCATTTATGTTCATCACGAGCGTATGCAAAATAAATCTGTGACGTCATACTCTGCAGTTTCGCGGGCACGCAGTGCCACTTCTCGATGCAGTTTTGAGTAGTGCAAAGCCCTACATGGCGCTAATTCCTCACACAGTTTGCTGTGCAACCAGCTGCAACTACTGCGCACGAAACAACGGTTGAGTGAAATATTAGATGTAGTTGCGTATTGAACACTCAGAAAAAGAGCTACGAAGTTCTCTCCGCTAGTCAGACGCGTCACCTAACCGCCGTGAAATGCTTGCTGGCTCACTATCCTGAACGACGGCGAAAACAAGAGCAGACGCAGCAGCTCTGCGCTCTACGAGAAAAAGACCCCGCTCTGCACTACTGTTGCGTTGCGAATTGGAACGAACGTAAATGACTTCGGTTTTACTGATTTCCGCGGCTTTCGCAAAGCAGAATGGCGAGAGTGCTAAATGCAGGCCGTTGCGAACGTGTTGGGTAAGCGAATTACTCGCGTTCTCCACAGCCGTTCGCTTGATTAAGTGTAATATTGTTCTGAGTAGCCTTGACGGAGAACCGTGGTAACATTTATTATGAAGCTTAACAAACCCTCTGAATCTGACTGCGATGCGCGACGTAGAACAGTAGACAGGTGACACTCGGGCGTGATAAACATAGCACACGCCACGACCAGAGATAATCTGAAGTTGTCGCCACCACGCAGCATTACACAAGAAGGCTCTAAGCCCTCGCTTTAACCAGGAAATGCGAACACGTGCGTCATACAGGTAAATCGCGAAGTAATCGCGACCACAATCTTTTTTTTTTTTTCGTTGGTCTCCGCGATTACCAGATCTATCTCGGAGGCTTCAATTTTGCCTTTCGTTGTACACTGAGAAAGTGGACACGCATGTATCTCCGTTTGCAGTATATACTAACGGAAGACAACCGTCAACAGGACATTCGAGTATGCGTAATAAATGAGTTCAGTGCACAGGAAGCGAGAAATCACCAAGGCCATTTGTGCCGGATAAAGCGAGCTTCGTACCTCTATCGCATAAATTGTTCGTGTGTGCACATCACAGTGATGTGATTGGCCCAAGCCACTTTGGAGCAGCTTCTGGAGCAGCTAAAATCATGTTTTGGAGCATGTCAGCATGGTTTTGGAGCAGGCGTACGCGTACGGTATCGCATAGTGCGACGGCAAGTGATGACCATTTGCACAAAGAATAAAACCTTGATTCAATGTTACATACGCAAACCAGAGCACACTGGACAAATGACAAAGATATGAAGCCCAAACTACAAATTATGCATACGCAAACCACAGCACACTGGACAAATGACAAAGATGTGAAGCACAAACTACAAATTATGCATGGCAATAAAAAATTCCAAGAAAAACCTACACACGCCCTCTCATTTGAGAAGCTTAAACACCAGTTTAGAAATCCCCGAGAGAAATGCGACGCCGCTACCACGGAGCTGGTAAATGCATATGCGTGTGCGATCGGCTCGGCTCGCTTGCAGAAATTATAAGGTTAGTTTCGTGCACAATAAGGGTTACGTAGGGTAATAAGATATCAATTATCGGCCAAGGTTTTTAACGCAAAACGCGTTGATGTCAAGGCGATGATGTCATCATCGCCTTGACATCATGTGTATGCCCAAGTTTAACGCATTTAAGCGTTACAGAACGCACGTCGGAGTGCTTGCCTCGAGATGTCATGCGATGCTCGCTTGCATTTAAGTTGCCAGTTGCAGCACGCCGAAATAAATGAGACGTCTTTTGCTTTGGGCCCACACTTCGTTTTGATGAGCTTCCAACTTTTATGAAGCGAGATTGGATTGAAGGAAGAAGCTAGCCAGGTCCTTGATTTTTAGAAAACTTTGCCTTAAGACCAACGAAGGAGGAGGGTCTATGCACGTTCACTTGCGGACGGCTCTCTGTGCACTACCCATTTACGGCTGGCGTGGCGATGGGGGCGCTGGTGGCGGCGTTTTTCACAGCGCCGCCTGGGCAGAGTCTCACGTCCATAGGGAAGGCTTTCGTGCAAGGTTCATTTCAGTGGTATAGCAATTAAAGGTTGGATCGTCTATAAAAATGCGTGTGGCGGCGAATGAAAGGCCAGGGAAATGTTCAGGCTGATGGCAGGAGCAGAAGTAGTATATTCTTTAGTGTCTTTTTCTAACCTCGTAGCGCGCTGAACGAGCGCGCCATAATTAATAGGCGGTCGATGAAGATGACGATGGCCGCCAGAGAGCTCCCCCTTTTATGAGAAGGGTAGTGATGCAGCTGCCCTGCAAACAGGGCTTATGTTCTTTCTTCATTGGAAGGAAGGAGGGAGATTCATAGTGCAGCAACAAATGCTTCAACTTTAGCGGTTGTCAAATGGGTGCCGCATGGCTACATTGACCTGCCAAGCGGGGCTGAGCCTCTCAAAAAAGCAAGGGGGCCCGGCCCCCTGGTCACTCCCCTGGCTTCAAGCCCCGCGCCCAAGACGCAGTCTTTGATGTTAGGCGATCAGGCATATCCTGTGCTTCAGCGGTGGCAAAGAGGTTAGAAGAGCTTAACGCTAGCGCAGTCGCTAGATAGGCAGGTTTCACTCCGTTGATCACCACGACTTAATTCATCTCATCCGGATTAAGTCTTCTAAAAGAATGCGTATGGCCGCGAGCGAATAACCAGGGAGCGCACTCTGGCCTCTATATATAGTGGTCCGGACGCTGCAGCCGCCGCCGCTCTGCTTCGTTCATGTAAATAAAGTGGCGAGAAAACGGCTCTGCCACGTCGGCCGTTTTCACGTCTTTTTCTACAGGGATAATTCGGGTTGCCGACTTATTATGACTGGCAGAGGAGGCGAAGCCACCACGTAGTTTCCTCCCCTTTTCCTTAACGGATATGCATCTACGAACATATATGCCCCTTTTCCCCACATGTCAGTAGCATCTACGGTACGAGATCACCTTGTAGTCTAGTATTGTTGCCTGAGTAGAGGTGGCCTTCTAAAACATTGCCACATTGTTTGATTATTGGTGACCCAGACGCACAGAGAAGGTACGGGAACCGGTCCTGGCTCTTGCGTGATATGCTCAAGGATAGATTCTTTTCGAAATAATAAAGTTAGCTTTCCTGCTATGCAGTTTCGACAACTAATGGTGGCTGGTCATTTACTGCAAACAGGACTCTTCAAGCACGGTTAGCTTACGCGATAACGTGGAAAATGTAGACTCGGCTCTCTTGATATAAACACTCATAGAAGACAAACCCCAGCACTAGGACCGCATATCCGCTTGAGACAAGAGAGGTGCTGCGATTACTTGGGCAATATGCAGTACAGGGAAGCGCACTTGCGAATTACGAAAAGGGTCTATTGGAAATTTTTTTTTCTCTCCCAATGCATCTCCCCTCCACTATCATACATGGGCAGGCTATGTTATTCCTGAATCACTGAATGAATGGTCGGGAGCAAATCAACTGAGCACGTACACTAATTTAACCAAAGCTACAACCACGACCTTAATACTATAAGAACTAGCAGTAACCCAGATGACACCCCACCAGTAATGATAGAAGAAGTCAGAAAAGCTTTGGAAAGCATGCGAAGAGGCAAAGCTGCTGGTGAGAATCAGGTAACATCAGACCTGCTGAAAGATGCAGGACAGATTGTGTTAGAAAAACTAGCCACCCTGTTTGCAAGGTGTCTCTTGACGGGAAGGGTACCAGAGTCTTGGAAGAACGCCAACATCATCTTAATACATAAGAAAGGAGATGGCAAGGACTTGAAGAATTACAGGCCGATCAGCTTGCTCTCTGTAGTATACAAGCTATTTACAAAAGTAATTGCTAACGGTGTAAATAAAACATTAGAATTCAATCAACCAAAGGAACAAGCAGGATTTAGAACAGGCTACTCAACAATTGACCACATTCATACTATCAATCAGGTAATAGAGAAATGCTCAGAGTATAACGAACCACTATACATAGCCTTCATAGATTACGAGAAGGCGTTTGATTCAGTAGAAATATCAGCCGTCATGCAGACACTGCGGAATCAGGGCGTAGATGAAGTATATATAAACATTCTGGAAGAAATCTACAGAAGATCAACTGCTACCATAGTGCTTCATAAAGAAAGTAACAGAATACCAATCAAGAAGGGTGTAAGGCAGGGGGACACAATCTCCCCAATGCTATCTACCACGTGCTTACAGGAGGTTTTCAGAAGCCTAGAATGGGAACAGTTAGGGATAAGAGTTAATGGAGAATACCTTAGTAACTTGCGCTTCGCCGATGACATTGCATTGCTGAGTAACTCAGGGGACGAATTGCAACTCATGATTACGAAGTTAGACAAGGAGAGCAGAAAGGTGGGTCTTAAAATTAATCCGCAGAAAACGAAAGTAATGTACAACAACCTCGGAAAGGAGCAGCACTTCGAGATAGGTAATAGTGCACTTGAAGTTGTAAAAGACTATGTCTACTTAGGGCAGGCAAAAACCGCAGAGCCTAACCACGAGATTGAAGTAACTAGAAGAATAAGAATGGGGTGGAGCACATTCGGCAAGCACTCTAAAATTATGACAGGTAGATTGCCACTATCCCTCAAGAGGAAGGTATAT